ACTAGAGAAACAGAAATTATCTAATGATTAAATTAAAAAAATAAACCCTTACTCAAAATTTAAAAATTTGTGTGCCAAAAACATTATCAAGAAAGTGAAAGAACAACCCACAGAATAGAAAAAATATTTTCAAATAATGTGTCTGATAAGGGACTTGTATGCAGTATATAAAGAATTCTTAGAAATCAGCAAAAAGACAAATAATCCAATTTTTAAATGGGCAAAGGATATGAATAGATATTTCTCAAAAAAAAGATATACAAATGGCCAGTAAGTACATGAAAAGATGCTCAACATCATTATTCATTAGGAAAATACAGTTCGCATCCCCTAGAACGGATATAATTATTTTAGGGAAAAAAAAGGAAAACAACAAGTGTTGGCAAGGAGAAATTAGAACCCTCAAACATTGCTGGTAGTGCTGTAAAACTGTTCAGCTGATACGGTAAACTGTTTGGTAATTCCTCAAAAAGTTAAACATAGAGTTAACATATGGCCTAGCAATGCCACTCCTATATACCAAAAAGAATTAAACATATGTTGACACAAAAAGTTGTACATGAAATGTTCATGGCAGCATTATTCATAATAGCCAAAAAGTATAAACAATCCAAATAACCATCAACTGATGAAGAGAATAAAAGGTGGTATATCCATATGATGGAACATTATTCAGCCATAAAAAAGATATATGCTACAATATGGATGAATTTTTAAAACATTATGCTAAGTGAAAGAAGCCATACACAAAAGGCCACATGCTGTATGACTCCATTTACATGAACTGTCCAGAATAGGCAAACCCACAGACACAGAAAGTAGATTAGTGGTTACCAGAGGCTGGTAGGAGGGGAGAATGAAAAGTGACCACTAATAATAATAAAGATAGTAAATATCAATAAGAGTGAAAATAGAAAAAGAGAGAAAAATTAATGAAACCAAAAGCTGGTTCTTTCAATTGATTAAAAAAAAAAAACTGGTAAATCTCTAGCGGAAAAAAATGGGAAAAGACAAACTACCAGTTATCAAGAATAAAGAGGGGATATATTACTACAGACTCTATGAATGATAAGGGAATACTACAAACTACAGACATAAACTCAACAACTTAAACGAAATGGACCAATTCCTGGAAAACCACAAACTACTCAAACTTACCCAAGCAGACACAGATAACCTGAATAGCTCTACAATTATACAAGAAATTGAATTTATAGTTAAAAGGCTTCCACAAAAGAAACCTCCAGACCTCAGAATGTTTCACTGGTGAACTCTATCAAACATTTAAAAAAGAAATAACACCAGTTCTACATACAGTCCATTCTCATTATTCACAATAGTTATGTTCTATAAAGTCACCATGAAAACTAAATTAGCAAATACTGAAGCATCGCTCCTAGATGAAATACAGAGTTAGGTTCCTGAAAGCCTCTGGTCATATTTTTGGCAACTGATCAATACATAATGTTGTCTTTATGTGTGTTTCTGTTTAAAGATATTTAATACATATTATTAACTCACTGACTTTGAACTCATGGCCAAAAGCACTGCAACTCATGCCTAAACAAAGTTTATCTAACAGAGGTATTTTCTCCATAAGGCACATCACAGCTTTCTTGCACTTAAGAATACTAGACATAAAGCGAGAGAGTGGCATGGACATATATACACTACCAAACGTAAAATAGCTAGCTAGTGGGAAGCAGCCGCATAGCACAGGGAGTTCAGCTTGGTGCTTTGTGACCACCTAGAGGGGTGGGATAGGGAGGGTGGGAGGGAGGGAGACGCAAGAGGGAAGAGATATGGGAACATATGTATAACTGATTCACTTTGTTATAAAGCAGAACACCATTGTAAAGCAATTATACTCCAATAAAGATGTAAAAAGAAAAAAGAATACTAGACAGCACTTCAGTACTATACTTGGGAGCCATTTTAAATAGTGAGAGCACCAACAAAAAGCACAAAACTGCAAACACCATTGCACTGAACAGACCACAAAAAGGACACATTTTCACTGTGAGAGCTGAAAAGGCAGAAGATCACCTTGTTCGACTTCAGCAGAGACCTCAGTGTCAGGTGACAACTGTTTTGCCACTCAGCAAATGTCCATGAATGGACAAAAGTGCCGAGCACTGTCTGAGGTTAGGAGTATATTTTCGCAAGCAGGTGAATTCACAAATACACTTGCCCCTCGAAAAACACAGGTTTAACTGCACAGGTCCACTTATATGTGGAATATTTTCAACAGTAAATACTACAGTACTACACGATTCAAGGGGGATGAACCTATGGATGAGGAACCATGGATATGGAAGAACCGCTCATATGGAGGGCCATCTACAAATTACTCAAGAATTTTTGTGCAGAGGGTTGGCGCCCCTAACACCTGAGCTGTTCAAGGGTCAACTGTACTGAATCCAAGAATAGTGATGATCAACTATAATCTCTTTCAGGACATAGAATAGGAAGGAAGACTTCCTTTTTTATGAGATCAGCACTATCCTGATACCAAAGCCAGACAGAGACAATAGAGGAAAACTACAAATTAATACCCCTCATGAACATAACCATAAATGTCCTCAACAAATCCAATCTGGCAATGTATAAAAAGTGTAATACACCACAACCAAGTGAGGTTTCTTTCACCAGGAATGCAAGGCAATTCAATATTTGAAAATCCATGTAATCCACCATATTAAAAGTCTAAAAAGCAAAGCAAATGATCAATTGATTCAGAAAAAGCATTTGACAAAATTCAACATCCATTCATGACAAAAACTCTCAGCAAACTAGAAATAAAAGGGAACTTTCTCAACCTGGTAATAAGTGTTCACAAAATATATACAGCTAATAGGAAACATTTTCATTAAACCTTTGTCATTTGCTACCACCTCTTGTCTGCCAGGAAACAGACCTGGGAAATACACATGAAGTAAATCCAATACTAAATGAAAGATTGGAAAAGATGCCCTTCTTGCCGCCCACCCATCTGTTCTCAAGGTGTGACTTTCCTATAACAAACTTGTAATAGGTTTTCTCCTGGCAAAACTATTCTTAACTTTTTTCAGAAATAAATATATCAATATTTAATGGTGTTGTCACAAATATTTAATGATGTTTTCACAAAAAGCATCATGGAACCCAGAGCCACGGTGGTGCACAACTCCAGGAAGCAATATTCACATAAATACAATATATAAATATGAATGGTTCCCCCTGGAGTTGTGCAACACAGATTCCTGACTGATTCTACCACCTCAACAAACCTGAAGACCGGTGGCACATAGGATAGTAGAACGGAAAGAACAGTGGTATGAGAATTCAGAGAAAAGAAAAATCAACATGAGCTAAATAACTGGGGAAAGAATTTACTTTCTTTTTTCCTCTCAAGAATCATACAATTCTGTTGTGTTGAAGAGCATTCCAGAACCTCCTGTATTTATGAAAACTTCAAGAGACTGGCAGAACTAAATACATAGGCTTCTGCTGGAGACCTGCAAGTGGGATAGATGTACAGAGAATAGATATAAAATGAGAAAAAAAAAATGTAGACTCCCACCCATCCTTCTAACTCAAGAGAGCCTCACTCTAATCCTTATAACCTCACCATAGCTAGATTCTTCAGCTCTCTACAATACACCCCACAAATGGCCCAAAACACAGATGTTATTGCCTGCATAAAACTCTCTACAACTCCTAGAATAAAAATATTTGTCCGCCCAATTTGTACAACTCACAACATTTTAGTCCCAGCTTACCTTTTCTGGCCTTTTCTTTTACCACACTTCACAATACTCAAAGGTAAATAGCACGCATAAAACATATGCTGCATTTTTTCAGCCTTTCTTCTGCCTGGAATACCCTTATCCATATTTACCCCTGAATACCCAGGCCAAACCCTCCCTGAGACCAACCTTACCATGTTCTCTCCTCCACCAAATTTCAGTAATACTTTTAGTTTGCTATTATACAGCCTCAACAACACAAATTTATTTTTTGATTATATTTTATTATAAAAGGTGAAAACAATACAAAGTTATCTCACAGTTCTCTGTGTCAGGATTCTGGGCGTGAGTTAACAGGGTCTTCTACTTAAGGTCTCACTGAGCTGAAACTGAAGTGACAGCTGGGACTGTGAACTTATCTGAGGCTTGGGCTTGTATTCTTTTCCAAGCTTACCACGAAGCTTACTTGTTGGCAGGTTTTAGTCCCTTTCTGTTTTCTTGCTGACTTTTGGCCAGGAGCCATTCAGCAACCAGAGGCTGCCTGCCATTCCTTGCCACATGCCCTTCTCCACAGCAGTTCATAAAGTATAAGTCAAGAGAGTGAGATTTGGGTCAGAATCTCCTAAAGCATGAGATGGATCTTTCAGTGGGTTCCCAAACTTGTCCATAGCTAGTTTAGGTCTCTGTGTGACTCCACACAGACCTTGGGAAACAAGTGGCAAATGGGGTCCCTGAGGTTAGAGGCTTTTCATTAGAACTGTTTCAAACCTCTGCACCCATTTGCTAAGAAATAACATCTTTACAATATTTAGTTTTCCCATTCAGAAACATAAAATGATCTACATTTACTAATTTTTCAGTAATATTAACAAACAGTGCTTACAATATACTAGGCATTGTACAAAGAACTTTTCACACATTCTAGCCTAATCACCTAACACTTCAAATGGTAAATTCTATTATTATCTCTATTTTACAGTTTGGGGAAATTGAGAACGCTTAGTGTAATCCCTACAACTCCAAATGTGGCTCTTAGACCAAACCACCAGCACCACCTGTGAACTTGTTACAAATGCAGAATCTCTGGCTACACTGCAGACCTACTGAATAATAATCTACATTATCATAAGCTCCCCAGATGATTCTTTTACACATTAATGTTTGAGCACTGGTTTAAATAACTTGGTCAAGCTGACACAATAAACTCAATAAAGATCAGATCCAGATTGTTAAGGTTATTCCCAAGTTGCTATTAAAAATAGTCCTGGGACTTCCCTGGTGGTCCAGTGGTTAAGACTCCGCGCTCCCAATGCGGAGGGGGCACAGGTTCGAACCCTGGTCGGGGAACTAAGGTCCCTCAGGCTTCACGGCTCAGCCAAAAAACAGTCCTATATTCCTCATTATGTCTTTCATAGGTGATTAATGATATACATGAAAAGTGTTCTTCGGGCTTCCCTGGTGGCGCAGTGCTTGAGAGTCCGCCTGCCGATGCAGGAGACGCGGGTTCGTGCCCCGTTTCGGGAAGATCCCACATGCCGCGGAGCGGCTGGGCCCGTGAGCCATGGCCACTGAGCCTGCGCGTCCGGAGCCTGTGCTCCGCAAATGGGAGAGGCCACAACAGTGAGAGGCCCGCATAACGCAAGGAAAAAAAAAAAAAAAAAAAAAAGTGTTCTTCTATTATCTTTATCTTGTAATCCATCTCTTTCTGACATCTTCTTTCTCCCTCTCTCTCTCTCCCCCACACACAAACAATGTAAAAGAGAAAACCTTTCCTAAAATATCAACCCATTTCATGGGTACCATCCATTTAAACTTACAAAATTTGTCAGAACCACTCAAATCACATAGGAAACTAATCACTATAAATCAATAGCAACACATTTAAATTTTTATGTTACTATTTAGAATAAGTCACTAACACCATTAAGCACTTTATTTGAAACTGAATATGGCTAAACCAGCTACTGAATAATTCAGACATCAGTGGGTTAAAGATTCAAGATGATTTGGGCCATCCCAAGCTGTGAACTCCAGTGAAAGTCCATTCTAAATGTAGTATCAACTGCTAAATGTCAGCAGCCAAAGAATTTTCAAATGAAAAGTCTTTCACAACATAATTTTTTTTACTAAAACATAGATCAAATTACTGAGAAGACACTATAATTAATAAGGTTTACAATGTCCCTTGATGCCCAGGACTAAGTACATCTGTATTTACCATTAACCTATTTTAGTTTTTATCAAGCAAGGTCAGAAGTAAGAACTATCACAGAAACTTCCCTATGTCCAAATGTAATTCAAAAGGGTCTTGGGAGGCAAACACCTTGGTGTGTCTTGAAATAACTTTCTTTCTTTTTTTCACAAAAAAGATATTCAACCGGTTTTCCTGGCAAACAATACTTAATATAGTTGACTAATTTTACTCAAATTGTGCTCTCTTGAATGTGATAACAGTGTCTTCTCTTTTATATCCAATAAAAAAAGGTGAACAAGATTTAGCACTCACGTACAAGAAAGCAAGTTAAGCTCTGCAGGTAGAAACATTTAGAAGTCTCTGCCTTCAAGGAGCACAGACTTACTAACATATATAAACTGAATTTCCTCCTACTTGTCCACAGTAAAATATGTATTTTATTTGGGGAAGATATACCTTCACGGTTAATCATTTTCTTTAAAAGCACTCAACTCATAATCTTTGAGAAAGCTCTTCTTAATAGGACTCAAAACCTAGAAAAGAACGAAAGGTAAAGATTGGTAAATTTATTTACATTAACAGAAAAAATGTCGGGCTTCCCTCGTGGCTCAGTGGTTAAGAAACTGCCTGCCAATGCAGGGGACACGGGTTCAAGCCCTGGTCCAGGAAGATCCCACATGCCGCAGAGCAACTAAGCCTGTGTGCCACAACTACTGAGCCTGAGCTCTAGAGCTTGCGAGCCACAACTACTGAGCCTGCATGCCACAACTACTGAAGCCCACACGCCTAGAGCCCGTGCTCCACAAGAGAAGCCACCACAATGAGAAGCCTGTGCACCACAACAAAGAGTAGCCCCCAATCGCCGCAACTAGAGAAAGCCCGCGTGCAGCAACAAAGACCCAACACAGCCATAAATAAATAAATAAATAAATAGATATTTTAAAAAACATAAAAAATGTCTGCAGAATAAAAAAAAAAACTGCATAAATCAAGTCAAAAGCCAAAAATGGGAAACAGATCTGTGACACATATGACAAAGGGCCAGTTTCCTTAACCTACAAAGCACTCTTAGAAATTAGTATAAAAACGACCAGGAAGCAAAAAAAAAAAGTGCAAAAGATCTGAATAGACAAGTTTACTGAAAAATATACAGTCAATAGCGTAGAAATTTACTCTATAATAGTAGCCACTAAACAAATGTGGCTATTTAAGCTTAAATGAATTAAAGTTAAATAAAATTCAAAATTTAGTTTCTTCGTCAAACTAGCCACATTTCCAGTGCTCAATGGCCACATCTGACTAGTGGCTAGTGCACTGGACAGCACAGATATAGAACATTTCCATCAAGTTCTACTGAACAAAATAACAAAAGAAATGCTTTGTTAATATATCAAAATGGCAAAGAGTAAAGACTGATAGATTTCTTGGATAACAGAGAAAAGTGGGAAGAAACAAGAACCTTCAATATTTTGGAGGGGAATATAAACTGCCACTAACTCAAGTTCACAAACTCTTTATCTTAACTATTCCATTCACACAAATGTACATACACATACGCCCAGATATATATACTGAAGTATCTGTTACAAAAGGGAAAAAAAAACCTATAAATGACTATTTTAAATGATGGTACATCTAAAAACAATGGAATATTAAGAAATCATTAAGAAGAATGAAACAGATACATAAGTAGTGGCATTAAAAGGCATTCTTGACATTCATAAAGAATGTAAATTGAGAATTGTATATAAAATATAGATAGGTATACATGTTTATACATATTTCTACATACAAGTTTAAAAGTCCAGAAAGCTGTATTCAAACTATCAACTATAACTATAGTTAATTTGTTTGGTAACTAAATTATTTTCAATATTTGTGTATGCAGACTTTCACTTAATCCCTATTTTCAGTATAGTGACTCATTCAAGACTAAATCTCTACATACTGCTGTTCTACTTTTTTTTAAATAACGAGCCTATATAACTGTAACAGTAACTCAATTTAAACACTATTGTTTTTAAGTCATATCTAAAGAGTTCTAAAACTAAGTATATTCAATAACCTTTTAAAAAACACTAAAAACATGATAAATCAAACGGTACTAAAAATTCTAAACTGCACAATACTACAACACTATAAACTATGAGGATGGCCTCTATGAGATATGGAAAGAAAGAAAACAGAACTAGAGGGGCATTCAGAGGCTCTTGTAAAAAGGACAAAGATAGCAGGTTTTAACAAACCTTACTGATCAGTTCCCTGTAGTTGTATCTTCCACACACAGTGGCCTCCTCCCAGACAGCTTTTGTAGTGAAAATATAATGCCCTTTCACTGACAGCAAAATTGCACAGCCTTTTAAAAGTAGATTTTGTGGATGAGGAAACAGCAAGGACTTCTGCAAATCTGACATCATCTTCTCAGCTCCTGTCATAATTCTAGGAGATGCAGCAGCAGCATCTCTCACAGAAATATGTGTTCAAAAAAGATTTTTTTCCCTTCCTTTTCCTTAGTTTCTGGGCTTTCAAGACAGGATCATGAGAACAGGACAGAAGGAAAGATGAACCGAAAATAATACAAAATTCAAGAGCAAAACACAGGGGAACTTTACTTCAACATTAAGGCAAGAATGAAAATCGCTCAAGCAAAGAAGGTTACATCAAATCACTGAGCACAAACTGACTTGCAGATAGCAATTTCATAAATGTATCTCTTATAATTTTATGTCAGTTATACCTCAATAAAGCTGAAATTAAAAATAATGTAGGGGCTCCCCTTGGTGGCGCAGTGGTTAAGAGTCTGCCTGCCAATGCAGGCGACACAGGTTCGATCCCCGGTCCAGGAAGATCCCACATGCTGCTGAGCAACTAAGCCCGTGCGCCACAAATACTGAGCTTGCACTCTTGAACCTGCGAGCCACAACTACTGAGCCTGCGTGCCACAACTACTGAAGCCCACGCGCCTAGAGCCCATGCTCCACAACAAAAGAAGTCACCCCAATGAGAAATCCTCACACCACAACGAAGAGTAGCCTCTGCTCCCGAACTAGAGAAAGCCCGTGGGCAGCAACGAAGACCCAATGCAGCCAAAAATAAATACATAAACAAACAAACAAACAACATTACAAAAGAACAGATTTCTTTAATATGTTTTTCCAAGATGCAAACTCTCTCCTGGAGATTCTAATACAACTATAAATATAATACAAATACAGACATACAAGGACTCTGGCCTAGTCAATATAGATCCAAGAAGATATTACCAGGCCCGGCCATACTCCTAGCAGAAGAAAATTACTCATGGTAAAGATTAAGAGTACTGAAAATTTCTAAGTTAATACGTCTGTTTTTTCTAAAGTGTATTCTCAGATGTTTTTCTTTCTAATCATTACATATATTTTATCATTTTACTTTTAAGTAATTCTTTTCTGTTTTCAATACTTCCTCCATAAAATAATTAGCATATGAGAGTTACTCCTTTAATAGAAACTTTCTATTTTCCAACTTATTCCCTAAAGTTAAATGACTTTAGGTAAATAACATAAATAAAAACCTATGTGCTTTCAAAACAGTATTAACCACTAAGTGAAGTCTACATAGAAATAAAAACAAACCACTTTTTCTTCAGTCTACAAATCGCATGCTAAAGATCTGCTGTGCTCCTCATCCCTAACACCCATACTTCACTTATACTTTGACCACTTCACTCCCCAAAGATACGCAAAGGTACCTCTGGTGCAATCTCTAAGATCTGCCTCTCTGCCCTTTGCATCTGTAATCACAACAAACTTGTCCTAAAAGGACATTTTCCCCTTTTAATGCTGCCCTAGCTGTGGTGGGTGACAAGAGAAAAATCAAAAAGAAAATGGTATCATCATTATACCATTATATATACTATTATATACTATGTATATATACTATGTATATATACTATATACTATATATACATAGTATATATACTATGATTATACTATTTCGAAAGCTCTGCTTTGCAAAAACAGCTAAATTCCTCAGGGATGTCACCAAATGTTTACATGATACAATGTTTTGTTTTTTTTTTTAAAAAGAATGAGCAGAACTTTGAACATAGTTCTAAAGTCAATGTAATGGTTCTCAATATCTCTGGCTTACCACAAATTTATTTTTCTATTTAAATTGCACCAAACACTATGCTACAGATCTCTCATCCAAATCACTTCATCACCACCATCACTGCCACCTTTAAAATTTAAAACATGTAATGGGAGTTCCCTGGTGGCCTAGTGGTTAGGATTCCAGGATTTCACTGCCATGGCCAGGTTCAGTCTCTGGTTGGGAAACTGAGATCCTGCATGCCATGGGGCACGGCCAAAAATAAAAAAAATAATAATAATAAAATGTAAAACATGTAAGACTGTTAATTAAATACTTGAATAATGCTTTTTATAACTAGTGTATTTATATGAGACAAATATAATATCAGTAGGGACACAATCCAGTGTAGTGAATGTGAATGAGCATTCAAGTTCAGTTGAATCTCAACCCCGTTATTTCTCTGTCTGGTGTCCTTAGTTATTGGAAGTCTACACTCTACAAGTCTACACTCTACATTTAATCAGCCTTTTGGCATAATTTTATAATTATATAATAATTATGAATCTTATTTTGCTTTTTCAGATTGTTCATAGCACTCTTATATCAATTTGTATAGCTCTCTCACATACACACAACACCCCAAATCATGTGTGTATATATACATATATATTATTGAACGAATAATTTTATTTATCTGTTGCTATATCATTGGTCAGGAATACAACCCCATTTTAATAATCCTCCCTAAAGCAGGATAGCTCTACAATGCAGATACCAAGAACACAATGAAATAAGAAGCAGATACTGCCTATACTCAGTAAATAATTTTAATATATCCTTTCTGAAACTATTCCTAGAACATTTGACTTTAATGCCTATGAAATAAGTTTAAGACTTACTTCTCCTGGTCCTCTTGATCTTTTAAGTATACACAGTTTCCTAATTTAGGTCAAAGTTAAACTTGCCATTTGTCAAACCACTAATTTTCTGATCTCATTATTCTGCATCTGAAAATATTAAAAGATTTACTTTTGTCTATTCCTTTCACATTTACTTCTACCTATTCCTCCTACAAACATAAACCTTTTCAACACTGAGGTTTACTTTAATCTTTCATTTTATAGATGGTAAAACAAACAAAAAAGAGTAGAGTGTTCCAGAATGGCCATCATCAAAAAATCTACAAACAATAAATGCTGGAGAGGGTGTGGAGAAAAGGGAACTCTCTTGCACTGCTGGTGGGAATGTAAATTGATACAGCCACTATGGAGAAAAGTACGGAGGTTCCTTAAAAAACTAAAAATAGAACCACCATATGACCCAGCAATCCCACTACTGGGCATATACCCTGAGAAAACCATAATTCAAAAAGAGACATGTACCCCAATGTTCATTGCAGCTCTATTTACAATAGCCAGGACGTGGAAGCAACCTAAGTGTCCATCGACAGATGAATGGATAAAGAAGATGTGGCACATATATACAATGGAATATTACTCAGCCACAAAAAGAAACAAAATTGAGTTATTTGTAGTGAGGTGGATGAACCTAGAGTCTGTCATACAGAGTGAAGTAAGTCATAAAGAGAAAAACAAATACCGCATGCTAACACATATATATGGAAACTAAAAAAAAAAAAAGTGGTTCTGATGAACCTAGGGGCAGGACAGGAATAAAGACTCAGACGTAGAGAATGGACTTGAGGATATGGGGAGGGGGAAGGGTAAGCTGGGATGAAGTGAGAGAGTAGCATTGACCGATATACACTACCAAATGTAAAATAGATAGCTAGTGGGAAGCAGCTGCCTAGCACAGGGAGATCAGCTCTGTGCTTTGTGACCTCCTAGAAGGGTGGGATAGAGAGAGTGGGAGGGAGGTGCAAGAGGGAGGGGATATGCGGATATATGTATACATATAGCTAATTCACTTTGTTATACAGCAGAAATTAACACAACATTGTAAAGCGATTATACTCCAATAAAGATGTTAAGAAAAAAAGAAACAAAAAGAAGAACAGAGTGTTTTCTAGATTTTGGCTACTAGAAAAAAGAAAAAAAGTTTTAGTGTCACCATTCTCTTTTTAAAATTCATTTTGATTTAGACTGAAGTCTTATACATTTGCCAGAATCAAATAAAAATACCAAGCCACTAATATACTAATCCCTTCAGAACTCAGAGCTCTATTGATTAACTAGTCTTTACATCCTTTAAGTACTTCCACATAACTAGTTAAGGCTTGAAATGTTTATTATAAATGAGCAAATATACTAATTTATTATAGGAAAATCTAAACAGTAGATGCAAACTTTTCCTGTCACAATCTCTCAATGATTATTTATCCAGAGAGATAATTCAAAAAGCACTCATGACATTCTAGAGACTTAAAATTAATTAACATAATTAGAGTTGGGATCTGCTTACCTGTAAATAAAATTTACCATCCTTCCTTAAATAAAAGAGGTCCTGAGGTAGTATTGATCAAGTAGAACAAAGTAAAATAGTCTTCTGTGAAGGACCAATTTCCCCACCACCCAAAAAAACTATTTCTAGAGTTTTTTCTTTAGAGAGAAATGACCAGCAGTCACAATTATGAAGATATATGGTTAAGTGAAAACACTCAACAAATAAAATGTGCTTTTATTTATTCACTAACTTTTTTTCACAGTTCCAACTAAAACACATACAAGTTGAAGACTCATCAACCCCCTAACACAAAACATTTACAAAACAAATGCACAAGGTTTACAAAACAAATGTGTAAGATTGAATAAACAATGGGACCCAGATTGGGGGAAATAAACAAAAATGACTGGACGGTAATATACCAAATGTTAACAGAGCTCTGAGAAGTGAAATACATGATTTATTTCCTTCTTTATACTAAAATTCTATAATTTTCCACAAGTTTTCCCACAGTGAACATTTATTACTTTTATATTCAGAAAACTCCCCTTTAAAAAATAAAACACAACACATAATAAAGGTTCATTTAGAAAGGCTCTCCATGTTGTATAAGTATTACTGACATGATTCACCATTAAAGATAATGCCTCCAGTCCTTCTCACTTCCCAACACTAAAATGCTGTTTTATATCCTGTTACTTTTCTGCTGCAACCTTACTTTTCCAAACCTTTCATTTCCACATAGTGGACGCTTTTAACTTTTTCATAAAACATAACTTCTCATTCATCCTCAATACTCTGTTTTTTAAAACCTACCTCTAAATTTCGTTACAATAAATTTAGAAGGAAAAAAAAAAGATGGTTTTATCCACTAATTACAACTTCGTGAGGCCACCATCACTTTAGCTACGGAAAAGTCAAGGCCGGGTAAACTACAGGTCCCACCATGCATTGCTGCCTTGTTCAGAGTAGGTCTCTACGGAAACAGAAAAAAAATTCTACAAGTCCCACCTGTTACTTCGTTTCTAAACACCTCCTGCACTTTCAGCTCCAACAACAAACGTAAAACAAGAGCCTCGTGACCTCCGGCCTGAGCCGGGAGCCCAGACAGGCAAGGGGCCCGGGGTCAGGCGGCGCGTCTGCTATAGCGGGTCAATTCTACCCAGCTCCAGCGCTCCCCTCTTCTTTCCGGGGCTGGGTACACGCACAAGCCTTCTCCTATCTGCATCCAATGGGGGCTCTTCAGCCACACAAGGGAGAAGAACCGGTTACTGTGCAAGCCCAAGAGACTTCCTCATGCCGGGGCGGGGGCTACCACAGAGTGGGGGCG